GGGGAAAGGGGGGGGGGGTGAGAGGAGGGAGACATCCCCCCCGTGAGCAGTCAGTGTCCGCGGCCGCGGACTGTCCCGCCGGTGGAGAGGAGGATGCCCGGTACAGAGGGGACCATTGTCTACAGGGTCTCCCGAGAGCCAGGTGGTGACATTTAACCTTTTCCTATGTATATACATATGTAGGCATATATATTTGCATATGCATATTACCTCTACCAAGTGTGCTTAGAGAGACGGTCCGCCCCCGCGCACCGGAGCCGTCCAGGTCGCCCCGTCTCTGGGCATCTCCAGCACCCAGCTCCTGGCGTTGCAGCTCCGCAGCCCGCATCTTATTTTTATTTTTATTTTTTTAGTATTATTATTCCTGCTGTAAAGCCACTTCATGGAAAGTTGTAAAGCCACCCTCCGCCTGCCCCTTTCTCCTCAGCCTTCTGGATCCTCCCGCCTCGGGACAGGGGTCCCCAGCAACCCCCCCCTCCCCTCCCAAAACTGCCCCTCGCTGCAGGGCGGGGGGGCAGGGGGAGTTATCCGTCCTCTGCCTTCTTCCCTGGGAGCAGGCGGGCCAGGGGCGGAGAGGGACGAGTGGATGCAGAGCGGGCGTCGGAGACCCGCGGAGGTTTGGGTGAGTACGTGGATGCCCTTGCGATGTTCACCTGCGGATCAGCTCTCTCCTCCTGCTCTCCTCTGCCGGCATATCCCTACTTGTTCCCCTTTGGGGTGCTCTTGGACAAGCACCCCATTCCCGAAATCCGCCTCCCCCTCCTCCTTTTGAGCTGGGGGCCCCGCTTAGTGCCCGGCGGGAGCGTCCGACGGGGCCGGGGCGCTGGCGGGTGCGGAGCCGGTCTCCCCGGTACAGAGAGATCCCGCTCCCTTTCACGAGGTGGCCGTGGAGACCTTTCAGGTCAGGGCCTATTTCAGGAAGAAAAGAAAAAAAGTATTAAAAACAAGAAAGAAAGAAAAGGAACAATTCAATTTCCAAAGGCTCCAGAAAGACGCAAGGAGCCAGAGCTCAGAAATGGGACTCTGGAAAAGCAGGAATATACAGGGACACGTTCGGAGTTCTGTCTTACCTGGGCAGGGACCGAGAGCAGCCCGGGGAACCGTAAACCCTGAGAAAGGGCTTTCGTCACTTGTTGCACAGGAGTGAGGGTGTTACCGACCGCCGCTTTTATGCTCTGCGCGTCCTGCTGCGTGATGCTGGGGAGGAAATGCGAGTTTGACTGATAAGTCCGAAGCATCCATAAACCGCCAGCTCTGTTTGACTGGCAGACTCAGAAAATATATGTGTGCTTTCCTGAATAAAGAGTAAAAGGTTGACCCTAGTTCCTTCTATACATTTTATAAACAATGTGCAAAAGATAGGGGTGTATCCCGTATCCATATTTTTAAAAGTGTCCCTAAAGTGTGGTCATGCAACTCATGTAATATTGTCTTCCAGATAAAAATAGTATAATAAAATCAATAACAGTAAATTTGGTCTTTCTTCCCCTTCCCCC